CCCCCCCCCCCCCAGGTAACTGTAAACGGTAGTTTTTGTAATTAACAAACGGGGTTTTCTCTCGAGGGTTGAGCAACCACATCGTTCCAAACAAATTATTTCGAAAACGTCCGAACGTTTTGGAAAAGAACGAACGATCCGGAGGGAAGCCCTTGCTAAAAAAAACGCAGAGCAAACTATTTAAGAATTCAAGACGTGCCATAGCTTTAAATCCAGAACCATGTCTAACTGTTTATTTTAAAGGTATTGCAAGATGAGGGTTCTACTGGTGCTAAGTGTACTCCTGGTTGCTGGAGTAGTTTACGGAGATCGTGGTGGTTCATGTCCTGATGCCCTAGCTCCAACCTGCAAGTGTCCTGATGGTACTATAGTTCCACCCAGGAGTAAACGAGATGCGCATAAGAAACCTTGTCCTTCAGGTCGTCCTTCTTGCCTCTGCACTGACGGATCTGCTCCTGTCAAGGAGGAAAGAGAAGAGGGTCGACATCATTCTCCTTGTGCAGATAAAGCTGAACCAGTTTGCGCAGGTAATTCATTATTTCTTAACATTAGGGGGTTTTAACCAATGCAAATGCAGCAAATTTAGAACAGTTCCGGAAATTAAAAGTTAAGACTCAAAATTTGATAAATCTTGAAAAAAACCTAAAATTATACTTTTTTCCGTAAAAAAATATTCTAAAGCATATTCAAAGACAATTGAAAGGAACCAGATCTCACCATGTGTGTGTGAATGGTGAGGGAAGAGGCTTGAGTAATTTTTCTGAGTGAAGTCTGAGTCATAGTAATGTTGTGCTGAAGTCTTGAAATCTGACGGACAACTGGTAGTTTCCGTGAAAACTCTTAAAATGTATTTAATTAAACACGAATCAAAGACCAAACTAATACTTTGGCGGGCGGCCGACGCCCCCACATCTTTTAAAAATGGTTGTTAGTATCTAAATATATATTTAGATTATTCTGAATCTGTTTTAATTTTGTGTAAGAAAGCTAAACTATATGTTTTTCCGAAATAGTTCGCTTTATCAAAGACGACATTCTAAATATATTGGGGGTTTACAAGATCCATTCAAGGATAACTTTATGAACCGGAAAGGTAATTATAAATTTAAATCATTATATATCAATGCAAGCTACAATTAATACAATGTTTGTAAATGAAAGATTATCAGAATATATTTATTTTGTCCATTCTCAACATGAAACACAAGACAAATGCATTTTAAGAGAACTATTGCGACAAAATCCAGTCATCCCCCCCCCCATGAGTTGGGAAGGTTGGTAGGTTGGGGGGGAGGCACCAATTTTAAAACTAAATCAAGTAATATTTTAGACCCTGAGGATAGGAGTACATGTATCTGTGAGGATGGAACCATTATTCCTCCGAGAACCGAAGGAGGAGGAAAGAAAGATAAAAAGAGAGATAATTAAAGAATATAAATACAAGCGCATCTTACAGTTAAAAAATCATTCTTTTTTCAAACTTTGAAATAAACCAAAATTCGTACTTGTAGAAATGATAATATTCGTAATTAATGTTATTTATCACTGAAAATATAAAAAAATTCAGAACTTTCTTGCTTAAAGAATTATTCAACCTATAATGCAGACAATTTAGAAATAGATGTGACCGATAAAACTAAGCAAATCAAGCAATCTAATGAGTATTTTATTATTACTAGAAATTCAAGGCGCTTCGCGCCCTTCTTTCTAGGCTTTTAGGGCGCTTTGCGCCCATCTTCTATTTAAATTAGGAACATGTTCGAATTGTTTACATTTCAAAACAAAGATGAAAAAAGTTTTGCGGATTTTTTAAAAAAAATTCGCGAATTTTCAAAAATTTAAATTTTTTTACAAAATTAAAAACCTCTTATAAACAAATTTTTAAAATTTCAATCATTCATAAACCTTCCCTGGGGTCCCTAGATGTCCCACAAAAAACTTGGGCCCGATCGGTTCAGCCGTTTTGACGTTTATTGGACACAAACAGACAGACAAACAGACAGACAAACAGACAAGCCAAATTTATATATAGATAAAAACCAATACTTTTTGCAGTAGGTTTAGAATTTAATGGGTGTTGTACACGTTATAATTTCTGTGTTTAATGTTTCAATCATGTTATAAGACTATATTGTATATAATTTACAGTTGAGTCAAATATTTGTCTTCCTAATCCCAGTATTATGGATCTCACTGTATATTAGGAAAATTAAGATGAAACCCTAAGAATAGTTATGGTGTATTTCCGTTATGGACAAGTCAAATTTTGAATAAATTCTTTTCTCGTCAATCTTCAAGACAACTCACCAAATCCTGTTTTTTAATCCGTATATCTTTGCCATCTGCAAACCTTTGATATTTTAAACTCTTTGGTCTATCAGAATTCACATTTTGAAATATTAAACGTCTTCGATATTCGGTTGCAAAGATACAGGGTGTCCCAAAAAAACATGGGAATTCAGTGACGAATTGGATATCGTCTTTGTTATGAATTATCACTGTAATACCTAATTTCAAAAGCCATAATATTATTATGTCTGCTAGAGTTTATTTTATGAAAAGGGTAAAATGCTGTAAAGATGTGTCTATAATGTCTCCGCAAGATGAACAGTGAAGACGGACAAGTTTACTCTGTTTGTATACTGCAATTTTCTTGTTTTACTAAGTAAAACAGTATGCAGTCAAAACATTAACAAACAAAATGTGAACATAGCAGACGAAACTCTAACAGATTACAGCATTCTCAGTAGGTATCACTATACTAAATCAAAGAATTATTTGAAAAGACGATATCGAATTCGTCACTGAATTCCCATGTTTATTGGGACACCCTTTATTAAGACTTAAAAATCAGAGATTGTTGTTTTGAAAAATGTAATATTTTCTAGAATATCTTTTAGCAAATTTAATTAGTTAATAATTCTGCGGCCCTTAAGGTTTATAACCTTTAGTGAAAGAGATTTTTGCCCTGTGGCCGAAAATCTATATAATTGTTACGTTAAGTCAGAATAAGACAAATTTTTGCTTCAATATTAATGTTTCTTAAACAATTGTATACAACATACTGTCAGAGTTTTAATACGGTGGTAGGCGATTAAATCAATATAATGAAGACGACTTTCGATATCAATTTTGAATTATTAACCTGTTTAACAGCATGGATACACAAAAACATGAAAACAAAGAGAAGCTTGTAATTAAGAAAGCTGTTCATTACTTACTTGTAAAATTATAATTCGAAAAAAGATTGTTAGCAATTAAAAGCAAAGTAGTAAAAGTCGTTTTTATTATATTGATATAATCGTCTTCCACTGTATAAGAAAAAAACTTTAGTTTTTTTAATATTTCCTTGTTTTTTCATTATAAAAAAGGGTTGAATTTCAATTCAGAATTCTATTTTAAGAAAAAAAAACTTTGATTTTTCAATTTTAATATATCGTTGTTTTTTATCCAAAAAAGGGTTCAATTCTTTAGATTAAGTATCTGTTGCATAAAATCAGTTTTATTTAGAAAACACAATTAGAAATAAAAAGTTTTCCGACAGAAAACACGGATATTTTCATTATTTTTGTTCAGAACAAGTTCAAATGACACCGTTTTGAATCGGAATTTATTTTTTATGAGATGTTTTTGTTTTGGATTGGTTATATAAAGCAATCCATGCATATCCAATATTATTACACTTGGTTTTCTTAAAATTGTCATGTTACGTGGGTCACACTGTACTATCTGCCATGAGATTAAATATTGGGTAGATTTTAAATTTTAAATATTTTGACTTTTACCATATATTCAATATCATCTCCGGTGGTTTTGCGGGGGGAAGGATGGGATGAAGAGTGGGTGGGGAGGGTGGGAAGGGGAGATGCTATGTTTGTGTATACCTGAAGACCAATATTAATGCTGCCGGTGCACAAGGAGAGGCTGAGGGAGGGGGAGGAGAGGGGGGCAGGGGGAGGCTTTTCTCTCTTAGTTAGACCTCGCAGGTGCCCTAGTATACACTATACCATATACCAGTATACACACACATACTCATTCCAGCAGGGTGTCCACGCAAAATATGCTCGGGAAATAAAGCTTGAAATCTCATATCTTAAAATTTTAGTTTAATCTCTTTTGATTTAGACATATGATTCTTTAAGAAATAACCCCCCCCCCTCCTCCCGGCACCTACCCTTTTAATCCCATCATTTATAATTCACTTTTTATCTATTTTTTTAAAGTCCCAATTTTCAATTTAGCATCTCTCCGGAAACATTTGATTGAGAAGTACAAATTAATTTAACCTCAAAGATCTAATACGGAAATAAAAAGTATTGCTTCTTAACCGACCCCCTTTCTTTAGGATGGAGTACTTATACACTATATATCAAGGAGTGGAAGAATACTCCTACAGGAGTTAAGTATATGGCTGGTGACTCCTGGAGTACTAGGATGGAGTACTTATACACTATATATCAAGGAATGGAAGAATACTCCTACAGGAGTTTAGTATATGGCTGGTGACTCCTGGAGTACTAGGATGAAGTACTTATACACCATATATATCTAGGAGTGAGAGAATGAGTCATTCGTTGATGAAGAGAAAAGTTAAATATTTTGGGAACCCCTAGCTGTAAGATTACGAAAGGAATGTGTCAATACTAAATGTATTCGCGGATTTATTAAACCTTTACCTGGAAGGGAAAAGCTTATAAATTGTTTTGATTTTTATCCAAAAGCACTGGTGTAAAATATGTTTATAGGAAATTTAGATAACTAGGCTTTTAGGTGCTACGTGCCCACCTACTTTTTCTGTGAGCATCTTCTCTTTGTACAATATATAACAATAACAAATTAAGTTCGCAGATCTAATAATAATTTTCCGGGGATTTTTAAAACTTCCGAAAATCAAAAATTTTTGAAGACAAATTTTTGTAATTCTGGGCATCCATATACCTTCCCTGGGGTCATGTGAGGTCCCTTACAAAACTTGGGCCCAATCGGTTCAGTCGTGGATACAATTGGATAGAAAAAGCAAAGTATGTATATAGAAGGTTGGTTATTATTACCTTGATAAGTAAGAACTAGCATGGACAGTTTGAATGTAAAAAAAAAACTGGACGATGTTCTTTTTTAGTTTTATGTCTCCGAAAACAAAATAATATATACATGAGTTTGCATCTTTACATCCTTATTCTTCATTATTTAAATTGCACCCTCTTTCTATGCGTTAAATTTGCGTGCTAAAAGTCGAGAAATAAATTCATGTCCTTTGTCAGATATGTTTCAAAGTTTAGTTTTTTTATTAAAAATTTCAAATTAATTTTCTGAAATCTAAAAGTGACAAACTGGAAACTTTCTGATTTTTAACAATTCTTTTCAAAAGTTTCCAACTCAAAACTAAATTTTTAATTTTAAAATATTTCAAAACTTTTTCCAATTGGTTTCAAGATGGATTTGAGAAAGTGTTTGAGAAAAAAATGATAAATTAATGAGAAAAAAATGAAAATGATGTAAGATCCATCTTGCCTAGCATAGTAGGTAACCCAGGATCTTGGAGTAAGTAAAAAAAAACACTTTTTGAAAATGATCTGAAAGCAATCTATTGAAATCATTTTTTTATCGCAAAAATGACTAAACAACTCTCTACATGGTTAATTTATCTCTTAACATTCATGATATTATATTTGTACACACTCTGCCATGGTTGATATCTCTTAACATTCATACTGGGACCGATTACTTGGGTAAACAAATACCCTCCTTTGCCTGGAATATCAACTTTGCCTAATCTCATTGCCAAATTTTCGAACCCCCTCCTTGAGCTCAGCATCATGATATTTATTTTTTATGTTCTCTACATAGTTGATATCTCTTAACATTCATGATATTTATATTTTTATGTTCTCTACATGGTTGATATCTCTTAACATTCATGATATAATAATATTTTCATGTTCTCTACATGGTTACTTTATCTCTTAACATTCATGATATTTATATTTTTATGTTCTCTACATAGTTGATATCTCTTAACATTCATGATATTTATATTTTTATGTTCTCTACATGGTTACTTTATCTCTTAACATTCATGATATTTATATTTTTATGTTCTCTACATGGTTAATTTATCTCTTAACATTCATGAGATTATATTTATGAATACTTTACAATGGTTGATATCTCTTAACATTCATGGTATTTATATTTTTATATACTCCTAGATCTCAACTTATCCCTATCCATCAAACAATCTGTCATCGTAATATCGTTTTACTATCTAACCATCCACCCATCCGTCTTAAGTAATACAAAAAATACAAGGATTTAGAGAATAGAGGTAATTTCTAGGTTAAAGGGAGGCATTGCATAGTTTGTAAAATATGTGATCTGTTCCTTTAACTTATAGCAGAAACTAACCACAAAAGTTATGCTTTTTACTAATAAAGTGATTTAAACACTTCTTTTAAATGCAATTCAAAGTGTTCCTATGGAAATTCACCCTTGAAATGCTAATGATAAGAATTACTTAAAAAATTTAACTGAAGAAATTAAATATTTTTTTCTTTTACAAAGCATGAATTTATC